GCTTTAAGTCTGATCCCTTGAGCTAACTAGGGAAGACTTCACAGCCAGGGACCCGGCACGCCTGCCGGTGATCTCAACCCGAGGCCGAGCCTCTAAGTGTGTTTTTAACTCCCGAGGGGAGATTTTATTTTGGAAGGAGGAACCAGATATGGCTTGAATTTTTCTGGCTTGGACTGAAACAGACAAAAGTTACCTGGACAAACACCTACTCGCCAATGACCGGTAAGCGAGCCGACAATCAGTTTCCTGACTGATCGGAGGTGAGCCAGCTCCTACCCCGAGGGTGCCTTAAGAAGCCATCACCAGGTAAAGCTGATGTGTTCGGAGTGACGTGTCATGTGGAACCTGAGCTTAGAAAAGACGTGTAGTTCCGGTTGACCCACACTTTGATAAAAGTAAAAGTAGTAGTAACATACTAATCTTACTTTCCTCCTTTCCTTGTTCTTAATTTGCCAAAACTTAAGCTAAAAGTGCCAGTAAAATTGTTTGGTTGTTAACAGCATAACTGACATTTTACTGTTCTATATAAGTAATCTGAGTTGACGTGAATTGAAATTCGGTCACGGGTTTTACCTCATTTAACTCTGACGCTTGCTATAGGAATAACCACAATCAAGTGTAACTTATGATCTGTTCAATTTGTGTAAATAAATGATTGCATAGTCTTTCATGAATCAATTTGAACTCGTCTGAACGTTCACTTATTGTGTCACTTTTCACTTCGCACAGTCAAGATATGAACAAGTAATGAGAAATACCTTGGTAAAAGTTTCCTCATAACCTTGTGTATGAGAGATGTGGGAAAATCTTAATTCACCTTAAGCTCACTCTTACATATTGGTGGCACCGTACGGGTCCATTTTTAATGGTAACTCGTAATATTTTTCTCATGAAAATATTATCTTTTGTGCACTGTGGAAAAACACTGTTTTTCTTCATGTTGGCAATAGACCAAGTGTTATTATAAGACTTTTTATGGCTGATTGGTGCTCAGAGAAAAACTGCAGATTTTGTCATTTTCTGTCATTTTGAACTTATAAATACGTCTGTAACATTAATTATTGCTGAAAATATGCTGTTCACGGCTGTTCAAGGTTATTACGTCAGACCAAGAGAAAGTCGCTTTTTCTCTCTCATTACAGTCGAAAGCTATTTTTTAAATTCATAATCTGCGCTGTGGAAGCCAGTTTATGATTTATTTGCATGCATGTTGTCTGTATGACATTTTATTAAGGATCCTAAAGCCAGTATTAGAAACATCTTAACAGGTGTATTTATTAATCTGGTTGGTTATGTATAGTGTTTGTACGCGTGTCCCTACAATACACATATTTTTATATAACCACACTCCGCTAACATCTTAATAAGTTGGCCACTTGTTAGTGTTACACTACGTTCATTGTGAATGAATGTGAGAAGTGATAGTAGCAACTCTGAGCTAACGAGAGRTAGCTCCAGGCTACTCCTGGACGGAAAAACTCGAACGAGTCATCCAAATTGACGGCTAAGCGCTGTCTACCTGTAAAAAGTGTCATTAGCCACATTGAGAACTGGGTGTGTGTTTTAAGGCAAACTTTAGTAGGATTGTGATTCCGGAGTTCAACAGTCCGAGCCACAAGTGGGGAAACGGGAGCGCGCAGGCTCAACTTCTCAGCCACCGCATGCCCGTGTAAACCTCGGCAAGTTTAAAGAGTAGCTTACCCCAAAATTAATTTTTTTTAAACTGAAAAACTGCCTAGAATGTGTCTAAAATGTTATATAGTACTGTTTCTGTGCTAATTTTGTGCGTATTTGATCAAATCTGTAATGTTTGGTCTAAAAACGKGTTTTTGCTGCTCATATGGGTAGAGCAGTGGTACTGCAGGCTAATTT